TTTACACAGAAATATCCTAGGAGTGGTTCTGCGTATACAGGGAGACTCCTGGGAGCGTTTACAGGGAGGCTCCCCGGGAGTGGGTCTGCGTTTACAGGGAGACTCCCAGGGAGTGGGGCATCCTTTCTACGTTAAACCTGCAATTAGACACAATGATCATGCTACACCTGATCAATGACTAATGAAGGTTTGGCATATGTTCGTCAAGTAACTAGAGTTAAAAATAAAATCTTATTTGGAGACATAAATGAGTGAAATTTGTGGCCTTGTTGATGGTGCATCAGTGGATTATTTGAAATCTGGAAAGTCTTTGAAGGTGTAAAATCAATTTTATACTTTCTAATTTAGCTGTTCTGTGATGTTATTACACACCTCTGGAGCAGATGGGACTTGAACCCGAGTCTTGGAGACAGTAAGGACTACAGATGCTGGAAACCACAGTTTATAGGTGAGGCTGGAAAAGCGCAGCAGGTCAGACTGGGGAGGGGGAGCCCAGAAATAAATAGAGGGAGGTGGGTGGGAGTGGGGGAAGGGTAGGAGAGATGGTGATATGTGGGTGCAGGTAGGGGGTTATTGTGGTTGGTCTGTGGGAAAGGTGGAGAGGTTGATGAGTAGGAAGTTGGACAGGTTAGGTCAGGTCAGGAGGTGGAGGGCTGGACATAGACTGAGGCTGGGGTTGGAGGGATTTTCAGGCTGGTGAAGTCAATGTTAAGGCCATCGCATCATCCTCCGACATTTCTGCCACCTGCAATCAGACCCCACCACCAAAATGATATTTCCTTCTCCACCCCTGTCCACTTTCCATAGGGACCATTCACTCTGTGATCCCCTCGTCAGCTCTATACATCTCACCAATTCCTCTAACACACCCAGTACCTTTCCCTGCAGCTGCAGGAGGTGCAACACCTGCCCCCACACCTTCCCTCTCGCCTCCATCCAAGGTCCAAAACAATCCTTCCAGATCCAGCAGGGATTCACCTGCACTTCATCCAACCTTATCTATTGCATCCGTTGTACCCGATGTGGCCTCCCCTTTATCGGGGAGACCAAACGAAGACTCAGGGACCAGTTCGAGGAGCATCTGTGCTCTGCACACAGCAACCAACCTGACCTTCTGGTTGCCATCCATTTTAAATCCCCCCTCACTCCCCTGACGATATGTCCATCCTTAGCCTCCTCCACTGTCAGAGTGAGGCCAAAAGTAAACTGGAGGAACAACACCTGATATTTCACCTTGGGAGCTTACAGCCCAATGGCCTTAACATTGACTTCACCAGCTTCAAACTCCCTCCACCCCAAGCCTTATCTCATGTCCAGCCTTCCCCCTGCTGACCTGACATAACCTCTCCACCTTTCCCACAGACCAACCACAATACCCCCTCTATCTGCATCCACCTATCACCATCTCTCCTACCCTTCCACCAGCATCATCACCCTCCCTTCATTTCTGGGATCTCCTCCCCCTCCTCAGTCCTGATGAAGGATTTTGGTCTGAAACATTGACTTACCTTCTCCTCGGATGCTGTCTGACCAGCTGTGCTTTTCCAGCCTCACGCCTATAGACTCTTGAACCTGGGTCTCCCTGGCTCAGACGTAGGGACATAGCATTGAACTACAAGTACACTAAAATCAATTTTTAGTTTATCTTCTAATCAACCTGTTCGGCAATGTTGTTACAGACCTCTAGAGCAGATGGGACTGTGACCTTATAGAAATCATATAAAATCATGAGGGGCATGGATAGGGTAAAATAACCAAGGGTAGGGAAGTCCAAAACTAGAGGGGCATAGATTTAAGGTGAGAGGGGAAAGAGTTAAAAGGGACCTAAGGAGAAACTTTTTCACGTGGAGGGTGTTGTGTGTATGGAACGAGCTGCCAGAGGAAGTGGTGGGGGCGGGTACACATACCACATTTAAAAGGCATCTGGATGTGTATATGAATAGGAACAGTTTAAAGGGATTGGGCCAATGCTGGCAAATATGACTAGATTTATTTAGGATATCTGGTCAGCATGGACAAATTGGGCCAAAGGGCGTGACTCCTGGTTCAGAGATAGGGACACTACCACTGCATTACAAGTGTACTAGAATCAATCTTTAACACATTATTTGCACATTGCATGTGGCTGTGTCCAGTTCTGTCGATTTTATAACTGTTTATCATGTGGTGTTGATGGGATTAAGAGCAGCCAAATTAGAAACTTGCCACTTATTAGCCAAATGAACAACTACATTGCTACATCCAACTGTTTATATCTAGGTTCCATTCTCAATTTTGAATAAAAAAGTTTTAAAGAATTGGAGTGCTGGATAGTATGCGTACACGTAAGATTTAAACAAAGATAAACGCTGAACATTTAATATTTCCCACTTGTAAGTAGAACAACAGATTCTATATTGATCTCCGTCATGATCAGATCTATAACTGTCCTGTGTAAAATTTCAATTGTCCCTGATAACACATTCTGGGCCTGCAGTATGCTGTGGGCCATGGTGATCCTTCCTGAAACAGACCACATGCTCAAAAATGCAGACTTCAGAGAGAACAGCAAGCAGCATTCAGAGCAGAGGACAGTGGCTCCTATCTGACTGCAGTAAGAGACCAGCTGAGTGTCAAAAGTTTACCAATTTCAGACTGGCCGATGATGAGGACACTTAACAAATTGATTGGATATTGAAAGATAAACCCTTTCTCATGACACAACCAATGAAGCAGTTCTCTGGTTGCCCTCCTAGTTGTATTGTACGCCAAAGAATTACCTGATTTGTACATAACACCCACTCTTAAATGGCAATGTGCTTTCGACTTTTGCTTGCAGAAGGACTAGATCCCAGTTTACTTCTGCCTCTGTAAGGTCTTTTTCTTTTATTAATTCATTCATAAGATGTGGGCATCGTTGGCTGGCCAGGATTTATTGCCCATCCCAAGTTGTCCCTTGAGAAGCTGGTGGTGAGCTGCCTTCTTGAGCCACTGCAGTCCTTGTGCTGTGGGACACTCACATTGCTGTCAGGGAGTGGGTTTTGACCCAGCAACTCTGCATGATTTATAGCTTCTTACTAGCTTTTGTAGCCATGGTATTTATAGGGCTCATTCTGATCAGGATGTTTAGAATAAGAGATACAGTGATGGTCATAACATTGAATGTCAAGAAGTAATGGTTTGACTCTCTCTTATTGAAGATGGTCATTGCCTGGCAGTTGTGTGGCATGAATATTACTTGCCACTTAACAACTGTATATTGTCCAGGTCTGGCTGCATTTGGACGTGGATTGCTTCAGTTTCTGAGGAGTCACAAAAGTTGAATTTTGTGAAATCATCAGTGAACATACCTACTTCTGTCCTGGTGGAGGCAAGGTCATTTATGAAGCAGCTGGAGTCAACATCCAGGTGCAGGGCTGGATGAACACAGCAGGCCAAGGAGCATCATAGGAGCAGAAAGGCTGATGTTTCAGGCCTAGACCCTTCTAGGCCCGAAACGTCAGCCTTTCTGCTCCTATGATGCTGCTTGGCCTGCTGTGTTCATCCAGCTCTGCAACTTGTTGTCTCGGATTCTCCAGCATCTGCAGTTCCTACTATCTCGGAGTCAACATCCAACTTTTTTAATATTGTAATTAAAACAGTTGATCTGGTCATTGTCAGATCGCCATGTGTGGGATCTTGCTGTGCATAAATTTGCTGCCAGTTTTCCTACACTATAAAAGAGATCATACTTCGAAAAGTACTTCATCAGCTGTAAGGGACATTTTGAGGACCTGAAACGCTTTTTTGATTCATTCTGGTCCAGGAGGAGACCAAACTGTCTATTCAATCCGATAAGAAAGGTAAAGTCATAGGGCAGCTGTCTCATTAGAGACAAAGAGAGACACAACTGCTGTTGAATTTTTAGAAACCCTGCCGTGCAGAAGCAGGCCATTCAGCCCATCGCAACCCTCCAAACAGCATCCCATCCAATCCCCAGGACCCAACATTTCCCATGGCTAACCCACCTAACCTGCATACTATGGGCAATTTCACATGGTCGATCCACCCTAACCTGCACATCTTTGGACTGTGGGAGGAAACTGGAGCACCCAGAGGAAATCCATACAGACACAGGGAGAATGTGCAAACTCCACACAGACAGTCACCCAAGGAATCAAACCAGCATACCTGGTGCTGTGAGGCAGCAGTGCTAACCACTAAGCCAACATGCCACTCCAGAGGGAGAGAGTAAGAAGGAGAATTCTTCATGGTAACCTCAACTGGTGTAAGAATTGAACCCACATTGTTGACATCATTCTGTATTACAAACTGAGCTATAAAAGCTGTGGACTGCGAAGGCTGGTGATAATGATCTGATCATCACCCCAGTCTATCCCTGATGGGTTTGCAGGGTCACATCTCTCAAGTGCTCCATCCCGCTTCTCTTCCAGTCCTGCTCACTGCACCATTCTCCTCCTCCCTATTTAACTGCATTTGTGTTTCTTTTTGTATGTTCCCGCAACCCTCTTTTCATCCTCCATCCTCCCCCCCGCAATACCCCTCCAGCACTGACATGAAAGGGCATTCTCCTGGTCCCACAACGGCGGAAAAGACCGATAATCTCCGGAACGAGCCGAAAGCAGCGCTCGGCGTCCGGAAAAAGCCGAGAAGCACCGAAGGCGCTCCCCGGAAAAGGGTACCCGCGTCTGACGTAGAATTTCCCCGGAAATGACCGAAGATTCCCGAACGCTCACACCCCACCTACAGTGGGAATGAGTGGATGGCGGAAATTGCCGAGAGGGTGCGCTGGCGGCCGAGGGCTGGTCGGACGAGCAGGGCAGTAAGGAATCGTGGGGAGGAGGAGACGGCGGAATCGCCGAGGATTGCCGAAGCGGCCATCTTGCCGGGCTCGGGCTGTGAGAGGGAGAGTGGGGTTCCGGCTTTCTCCTCAGAGGCGAAAGTCCGGGCGCCGGCGGACACCGAGAGGGGGAGAGAGTTGGGGGGTGGGGGCAATAGCAATAACCGGGGCAGGAGGGTGAGGAGGAGGGTAGTAGGGGGAAAGAAGGCGGTGAAAGTAAAATACAAACACCCGGGGCGTTTATTCGTGTTTTATGCCCCCACCGCCCCGAAGCCCCTGACCCCACAACTTTGTGGAGAGCCCCCACCCTGGCCCCTGGAGGCCCTGAAGCCTCGGGGCTTGAGTGAAGAATAAGCCTGGCTGCGCCTCATCTCCGCCGGTCACCACCGCAAATGTGAGGACACCACCCCCCCCCCTCCCCATCCCATCCTATCCTATCCCATCCCATCAGGACAACTTTTATTTTAACTTTATTTGTTAATTTTAATGATCTTTATACGATTTCTTTTCTGCTGGAGTCTCTTCCCCGTCAGCACCTACCTCGCCCACCCCCCCCCGCCATTCTGAATCTGATCAGTTTAAACTAGTTTGTTTTAGGGGCAGTTGGATGACACTGTTCGCTGCAAATATTCTCTAGATTTCCTTCCCCCTTCCCCTTCCCCTTCCCTTTTATTTTAATTTAAAAGTTTTTGTTTCCTCTGTGTGTGTGTTGGGGGATCCCCTTTCAAAGTCCAGAGATGACCACCAGAACACCATTGCCTCCAGTCAATGAGTCTGATCAGGTAAGTCCCTCTACACCTTACTGATCATTTAACCTCTCTCCCCAGTGTATTTTCTAGAAAAGTTGGTTTGTTTTGTGATTTATATTCACCACTAACTTAATTTTACTGTCACCAACTGGGTTTTGAGGAAAGGTCGTATGTGTTGTGTTGGGGGTGTATCAATCCCCAGGGGTTTGCTCCCTTCTCAATGCACGCTCCCATCTGTACAACCCCATGTTTACCCCCCCCCCGCCGTAACTTTGTTTTGCCACTGTCTTATTTCTGTCATTACCTTTTAGATGTCATTTCCTGGGAGTGCATTAAATATTTGGAGGGGGTCTCTGCTTCCCTCCTGTGTCCACCTCCTCGTGTGTTTGATTCAGCTGAACATGGGACATTGAAGATGTTGTTTGGTCCTTTGTAAATAATATTGATGGATTTTGTGCCTCAGTTCTCTGCCCCTTTTGTCCTGAATTGGTCACCCCTCAACTGAGGGAGTTAGCAGGTCTGAGGGCAGCTGGGTGCGAATGTGGAACCTCAAGTGTACCTTGATGTATGTGGAGTACGTATGATTTTTGAGATCTGAAGTAAAAATGGAAAGCACTTGAGGAACTCAGCAGGTCTGGTAGCAACTGTGGAACAGAGTTAATGTTTTGCGTCCAATATGACTGTTCTCATAAACTATTTGATGGTTTGTGGACAAGTGAGTGTTGTGGTTGAAGGCTTGGGAGAGAGGGAGTGCTGCATAGTCTCAGTCGAATTCTGAGAGAACTCATGGGAAGTGTGCATTGTCTCCCAACTATTTTCTGTTACTGTTGGTAGCAGTATCTCTGTATAGTTTATGATGTAGGATCATTGTCTTGTACAATTAAGTGCATTTTAAAAAATAAACAAAGAGCGTTGATGTTTTATGAGTCATAAGTGAAAGTTGTTGTACCCCGCTCCCCTGTCCGGGTGAATGTGGTCAAGCCGGAAGCACTATGTTTACATGCTTTACTTTGGTCAGTTGAATCTGTTACTGAGCCAGTCTCTCGGGATGGGAAAGCAGATTGAATGCTACAAGCAGACACAAAACAGACAAGCCTGGCTTGGTATTTCTCTTCCTTGGCTGCATTAATTAGTACAGTGTGTCCTCCAGGAAAAGGGGCCTGGGTTTCCTTTTCAGTCTGAACAAAATCCACCACTGCTCTCCCTATAACTCTTTATTCTTCTAGTTAATTGCACTGGCAAGTAAGTACAGAAAACCGAACTGCAGAATTTGCCCTGATCTCTTGGTTCTTCCCCACCTCCCAGAGAGCAACTGATTGTGCAAGAGGCAATGAACCTCTGATCTTCCTGGCCTGTGTAACTCACTGCCATCTCATTCCGTGTATCTTCCAGTCCGGGGGGAAGAGGTGGCAGAGAATGATCCCTGTTAGAACAGAACCATAATGTGAGTAATTGCAGCCAGTTTCCATGGATAAGATTTGCCAAATGGAATCTTTCAGTTGTTATACTGTTTTGTTCTGTGAGATGAGCTCGAAGAAGCATTTTGATAATCTGTATACTAACCGGGCTGTACACGGACTGTTAGAATCAGGAGGTGATGACGAAGACTGTCCCAGACAAAATGAATGTAAAATCGTAGAATCCCTACCAAGTCCACAGCGACCCTCTGAAGAGCATTCCACTCAGACCCACCCCTGTAACCCTGCGTTTCCCATTGTTATTCCACCTAGCCTGTACATCCCTGGACACTACGGTCAGTTTAGCATGGCCAACCAACCTAACCTGCGCATCTTTGGACTGTGGGAGGAAACTGGAGCACCTGGCAGAAACCTACGCAGACATAGTGAGAATGTGCAAAACTCCACACAGTCACCTGAACATGGAATTGAACCCTAGTCCCTGGCACTGTGAGGCAGCAATGCTAACCACTGAGCCACCCCTTCTTCCAATAGTTCTCTTTGCGGGACCTTTGACATCCATCTTACCAGCCTACTTGTTTACTTTTTCAGCTGAAAGACAGTACTACATCAGGATGATTGATTTACTGCTGAGCTAACCTTTACAACCCAGGCAAAAGTGAGATATTGAGTGAGGACAGTGTTCAGTATGCTACCTGAGGTCGAATTGACTTTCTGTATGTCCTCTACTCGTCTCTCAGGCGAAGAGGCCTTTGTGACTGTGGAACCAGTATCCTGGCGAAAAGCGACAGACAGTTCAATGTGCATTCACCTGCTCCCACATTAAGTGATTGTAAAATGATTCTGATGAATGACAAGTCAAAAATTTTCATGCTTTTTGTGAAACTGATAAATAGAATGAGTTTGGTAATGTCTGGTTGGAACTGACTGAAATAAGACTGTTAATCATCGAGTTCCAACTCGGATTAAAATATTCTATCGTACATCATGGTAGAGATGGGTTCCCCGTCAGATGGATAATAGTCAGTAGCCATACTCAGTGTATGACAGGTGTATTTCTCACTTTATAGTAAGCCTCACTGCTAACAATCAATTGAACTGTTTTGGGAAGAGATCTGTGGAAATATATCATGTACTGGAAGTAAGAAAGTGCATTTATAGAATATATTTGATGATGTCAGGACATCCCCCAAGTGTTTTACAACTAGTCAGGGCCTTTTGTTTGAAATGTAGCCTCTATTGTGATGTTGGAACTGCCGTATTTGATCTACGCACAACAGGATTCCGGGAATGAGATTAATGAGCAGATCCTGTGGCTTTGGTGTTGAATGAGCGATAGATATTGGTCAGAAAAATTGAGGATTGTTGCTTCCCTGCTCCCTTCAGGAAGGTGCCTTGTGACGTCCCCTATCTGTCCTGTGAGGTCTTGGCCCAAAAGGCTGGGAGAGATGAAACTTCCCCCTCAGTACTACGTCAAGGTGCAGTGTCAAAATTCTGGCCTGTACAGCCCTCTGGTTTTGGTGGAACACAAGATGTGTAGAAAAAGTCCAATTGCAATGATACAAGGAGGCCATTCAGCCCATTGCGTACTGCTGACAATTTGAAATATCTATAGATTTCTTCTCCTATTAGCTTGCATGTTTTCATTCTCAATTCCTCTTTTGAAAGTTCCTCTAGAATTTGCTTTCTCTGTTCTTTCGAGCAGTATGATTCTGATTACAACAACTTTTTGCTTCAAAGAAAAACATTCTCCTTATCTCAATAAAAACCAAAAGAACTGTGGATGCTGTCAATCAGGAACAAAAACAAAGTTGCTGGAAAACCTCAGCAGGTCTGGCAGAATCTGTGAAGGAGAAAACAGAGTTCATGTTTCAGGCCTGGTAACCCTTCCTCAGAACCTGTCACCGGACCCGAAATGTTAACTCTGTTTTCTCCTTCATGGATGCTGCCAGACCTGCTGAGCTTTACCAGCAACTTTGTTTTTGTTCCATTCTATTTATCTCCCCCTCTGGTATCTTTACTAATTCTCTTTAGTCTGTGTCCCTCCGGTGACTGGACACCACCTCCACCACCCCCGGCCCCCCTCCCCCGAGTAATGGAAACAGTTTCTTCTCATTTAGCAAATCCAAACCCTTCATAATTTTGAATGCCTCAGTTGAATCTCCCCCTTAACCTTCTTTTCCCTCACCTTTTCCAATCTCTTCGTATTAACAGATGATCCTGGAACATTATGCACCTACTGTTTGTGTGGATTCCAGGGGATCGCTCTGTATTTTCCCTAACTGGCTGCTGGGCGATGTACCATAGTGACCAGGGAGATTTTTCTTCTCCCTGTTCTCTGGCAAGGTTGTTATGGTTGTTAAATACTGTGGATGTTGGCAATCTGAGACAAACATAGAAAATCCTCAAGAAACTCAGCAGGTCTGACATCATCTATGGAGAGAGAAACAGAGTCAACTGAATAAAGAAAAGTTGTATCGGGGACTCAAAAAATGAATTGTGTTCTCTCTTCACAGATGCTGCCAGACTTGATGAGTTTCTCCAACATTCTGAGGTTGTTAGATACTGGGCTAGCATTCCAGAGACCAGGAGTGCAAAATTCTGCCATTGCTCGTTGTGACTTTGAGTTCAACAAAGTTACTGTGAGGCTTTGGTGTTCACCATAGAACGATGGTGGCATTTCTTAAGTGTTCTTTCCCTGGACAGTGCAGAGAGGAGAGAGGTTATGAGTGTTACTGTTCTGGACCTAACCAAATGATGTGACAGCAGTTTTCACTTCTGACCTCCAGCTGCTTTGTCAGTTGAACGTGTTGCCCAAAGAACCATCTGCACTTCTGATTATAATTAACAGTCGTCTTTAGATGTTTTCTAAATCAACCTGTTCAGAGATGTTATTACGCAGGCCTGGGACTTGAGCCCATCTTCCTAGCTTAGAGGTGGGAACACTACTACTGCACCACAAGGGCCCCCATTTGTATTTCTGTGTAGATCTGAGATTGCCTTTCTCTGGTACTTAATCACTGCAGTAACTATGAATTGTTGAATGCACTTGAGCTATCTGAGCACTGAGTGAAATTGCCTGCCCTGGCTGTGTTTCAAAACAACTTGTTGCTTGTTCAGTGCCTTTACTGCTTGTGTCATGCAGTTGAGCTCCTTAAAGTTCCAATCAGAGTGATTTCTTCTTGGGTTTTCTGAGGTGAAACACCACTCTTCCGTACTTGCAGTTTCTGAGTGCCTCAAGGCAAGCAGCTTGTCAGTCTCTGTTGAATAGGATCCTGTTAGTGGTAGGCAGGCCAGCCTTGAACCATCCAGGCAACATCTTCTGATAGTTAAACGCGCCCTGTTATTTGTTCGTGGGACGTGGGTGTCACTGGCTGGACTGTTTAAACGTGACCTCACATACTGACTAGTCTGCCTCCACCTGAGGTTATACCTCACCCTTGCCTTCCTCCACGTCATCATCTGACTGTTTTTGTCAAGTTATTTGAAGCAGTACAAATTGAAGTGAATAAACTGCTGGTGTACAATATAGATTCCATTGTTACGATCTATATGTTAGAGAGCAGTGGCTCATTGAATAATTCCAGATTATGCCTTATAAACCAGGACCAAGTC